GAATAAAAGTGGGGGGAGGAGAGGGCCAATTGTGGATGCGCACCGGGCGCTTTTGTCACTTGCTCTGAGAAGGCGGCGAAGAAACGCGGAGCCGGAACTAGCTTGCCCTCCACCGATTGGCTGGGACACCGGAGCGCCCTACTACGTCACCGCGCGTTTTTGTGCGCGTTGAGAAAGAAGTTGAAATTATCCAACTTTTTTGTGCGCGCCCGGAAGGAGCGAAGAAGTGGCGCGACGTCACGAAAATACGTCACATCCGCAGCCGCACGACCTACAGGCGCAAAAAGAAGCCTTGGTTTGGATCGCGCTTTAGGCGCCCGTTTTCGCGTATAGCGGCGTAGGAGCCACCGTCGCCGCCGGCGCAACAGCGCGCGTTGCATTAAATCCAAACCAACGCTTCTTTTTACGCCTGTAGGTCGTGCGGCTGCGGATGTGACGTATTTTCGTGACGTCGCGCCGCTTCTTCGCTCCTTCCGGGCGCGCACAAGAAAGTTGGATAATTTCAACTTCTCAACGCGCACAAAAACGCGCGGTGACGTAGTAGGACGCTCCTGTGTCCCGGCCAATCGGTGGAGGGCAAGCTAGTTCCGGCTCCGCGTTTCTCGCCGTCTGGCTGCCCTCTCCTTCCCCCCCCCCCCCCCTTTTATTCTCTTCCAACATGACAACGCGATCTCTCTCTCTCTCTCTTTCTCTCGCCGTCTGGCCGGCCAGTCTGTCGCAGTTGCACTTTGCTTGTGCGCTCGTGCCGAAGTTTCGCCCGTCCAAACCAAAGCGCACGGTTCTGACTCAGAAAGCGCGCCCGGAAACAGCAAAAACGCCACGAAATGCGTCACATCCGCAGCCGCACGACCTACAGGCGCAAAAAGAAGTGTTGGTTTGGATCGCGCTTTATGGGGCGTCACTCCCCGCAAAATTTAGCGGAAAACTGACGTCCCATGACATCAACACCAATTCAGTTTCCCTGCTAAATTTAGCGGGGAATTTCATTAGTGTTAAGGTCATGTGGCATAGCTTTCCCGTTGGATTTCGCGGGGAAACCGACTTTGTGTATTAGTCACGTGATATGAAGTCATGTGACATCAGTTTCCCCACTAAATTTAGCGGAGAAACTGAATTGGTATTGATGTTACGTGAAGTCAATTTTCCAGCTACATTTTGCTGGGAAACTGATGTCATGTGACGTCACAGGCCACGGCTCCATGAGATGCGGCTTCACGAAATCCAAAGCAACTAGCTAAAAACGTTTCACGTTGAAACAAACACCGCGCGTTGCATTATGGGGCTTCCACCGTACCCTCCTCATTCTCCCTAACCTACACATACAAAAGAAAAAATATTCAAATACATATATAAATATATATTTCAAATCCTCTACCAAGGCATATCACAAAATCAACACACCTCAAGAGCTGCGCTCCAATTTCGCATTACAGAGAAGTCCTAAACGTAAATTTTTTTTAATGTACTTCACGCAACGCTGCAAACAAGCAAACCCTGTCTGCAAAATCAAGCTCTGGCAGTACTAAACCTCGAAATAGAAATGATAGATCCGCACGATGCATTATGGGACGTTTCGGCGTAACCGTGCGGTGCATTATCGGAAACGTCCCATGATGCAACGAGCGGGTCTCACTCGTGGCCAGCTAGCTGCATTATGGGAGGTGTCCCATAATGACGTCACGAGTGACGTCACAAGGGTCTCGCGCGTTGCCTTATGGGACGTTTCCCATAATGACATCACACAAGACGTCGCGAGGGTCACGCGCGTTGCATTATGGGAAACATCCCACGATGCATTATGGGAAACATCCCATGATGCAACACGCGGGTCTCACTCGTGACCCGCGCGTTTTCACCTCCCCTCCTCCTCCTCAAGGCCTGCGCTTTAATTCGGAATTACAGGGAGGTTAAACGTCTTTCATATTTCCCCCTTCTTTTACTCAAAATCACTCGCCACACTGTCCTGCATGGTACGCCTCTCAAAAACTGTCACAAAATAAAGCGAAAAAAAAAATAATAATAGCATGGTTCGTTGTCACAAACTATTTTCAGGTAAGGTTTAGACAAATACAAATCCTATCTATTCACGTCGTCAAAAACTTCTGTGACGCTTTTGACTGCTCGGCAGTGGTGCCAACCTCCGCGATCGTTTTTTCCCCAATCGTTATCCTAAAATGTCCTAGATTTTCAGAAAACATGTTCATTTGCGTCGATATATTAGATTGCTGCAGTTAAGTGGCCCTCTAAAGGTTAAGTTTGCTTCGTTCGAAGCTGTTTACATAATTAAACTGGGGCAGTAAAAACTGCCCAGCGCTGTTATTATCAAAATGGCTTCAACGCTATTTTCAAAGTGCTGCTGTGGCTACCTGGCACATATATCTGAGATATAATTTTCATATTTATGACTCTGGAGGCCAAATAAAGACAATCTAAGTGCTTTCTTCTCAAATACAGAACCGCTTCAGTTTCCTATCCAGGACCTAGAGGCAAGAATTATTAGGCATAAAATATATTAATAAATTTATTTGATCAAGCCTATGTTCTCAATTTGGCATTGCACCATTATTTACAAAATAGTTGGGTCAGTCTGGTGCAAACCATTTTAAAATTATTATCAAAGTACACAAACTACAAATCTGCTCAAAATCTGAGCTTGTAGGCAGCATTGTAGACTGTGTATTTCTTTGGCAGCAAATACAACACACAAGTAAATGGTCACAAATTCGCCACTATCACGAGCCAGTTGGTACATAAGAAAAGTTTCAGTATCAGTCGAATGTTGAGCAGGGACTCAAACCGTAACTGCAACCGAAAACAGTTTAGAAACAAACTTTTTCAGTAACCGTAACAGGAACGAAACCGTTATCTGAAATTGATGAAAACCGTAACCGTAGCCATAACCATAAATTATTTACCGGGAACCGCTATTACCCAATATTAACTGAAAAATAAAAATATGAGTTTTTCTCAAGAATTACTTTGAGAAGAGATCTTGAAATGCCGTGGCCACTTGACAGAGTGACAGTCAGCGAGTGGTGCATCTGGTAATACAATTCCGTTCAAATCTAAATTTAGGATTATTAAGGACACTTAGTTGGAATCAGTGGTTGAGCTTATAATAAAAAAGTATCTCAATCTGCTACGTTCCTACAATTGCTAGATGTATTGAGTATGTGTCGCCTTCAGGGAATTAACTAATAAGTTAGAATTCTTTTTAGTTGACGTTAGAGTTCGACATTTTCAAACTTTTATTGAAAAGCTCGAGAAAGTTTGACTAGGGTTTGACTGTTATGCGCATGTGCAATGGGCTGGCTCAGTTGGTTTTGGATTGGATGGTGATGACCAAATGATCAAGTCAGGCACGTAGCCAGGGGAGGGGGTTGGGGAGTCCATGGGGCCCAGACCCCCCCCCCCCCCCCCCCCCCCAAAATCTCCCATTTTGCTGGGACCTCCTCTCCCCCCTCCCCCTCATACAGCATTTTGTCATGAGCGGACCCCCCCCCCCCCCCCCGAAACAAAATCCTGGCTACGTGCCTGGATCAAGTCAAATATTATATTTTTAGTAAAGGCAGCACAGTTTGGCTATTTTGGTAATACAGCAAAAATAAATTATATTATTAACTTTTAAGTTATTACAATTATGTACCATTGATTGTAATTATTTATAAAATAAAACAACCTATTCCATCAAACATTTTCGACAAACCTAGACATGCTTGCATCAAAGTCTAGCCACATTGTACATAAAGTCAAACCTCGGAGCCTGGTTAAAAGTTTGAAGGTTCATCAAACCAGTCGAACCTTGAGGTTCTACGTAAAAATCCGGCTCGACGAAAGTTAGTGACATCCCTAGTAGCAGCATATCTGTAGGAGAAGCTCCGCCTCCAAACCCAAGTGAAAAATGGCATTACTATATAAATTCAGAATTTTTCGAGCGTCACAAAATCGAACAGCGAGAAATGTACGCTTTTATAAGCACATGTATTTGGGTAAAAATAGCACAGGATATAGGTGTAACAGAACATGACTAAGAATAGGGAAAGGGACGAACCATGACATATTTTTACAGCTTTCTGTGTTGTTCGTTCCTCTACTTAGTCTTCCTTCTTTTGCACTACTGCATTTATGTTACGTTTGACTTTCACCAACTAGCCCAGCTCTAAATTTTATTACTCCACTCCACTAAGCAGTATTTTACTTGAGGAGGGCTATAGTTCTCCATTCTTCAGTGTGGGCGAAGCCTATTCTACATATATTGGGTTAGAACAAACTATAGCAACAAGGTGTGGATGGTTCTTCCAGTACCCAGTAGGAACTTTCTGACGGATATTTACAAATGCTGCCAAACAACAAAGTAGCAATGTTTATTTTTATTAAATAGAATGCGATGATCCCAGAGAGGGCAACATGCAGGCTTGGGTATCAAACCATATAATGCAAAGTAGGTTATAGTGAACCGGTGTTGGAGCTAAAAACATGTGCAACTTTTAATTAATTAGAAGTACTAAGATGTCTTTGAGATCTTGTTATTGTGAATGTCCCATTGCTGGATATCTGGGACTACTTTAAATAGTTTATTATAAAATGGCTCTATAACATTTCCAGGAAACAAATTGTTGAAGAAACCCCCCCCCCCCCCCCCCCCCCAAAAAAAAAAACAGGTTTTGGGAACGTGTAATTGGTAACCGAAACCGTAAACAACTGAAAAAAAAACGATGTCAACAGGAAACGGTAACCGAAACATTATATTTTTCGGTTTGAATCCCTGATGTTGAGCACTCTGCATAACGTCATTCCAACCGAACACGTCCGGAAGGAGAACCTGCTTCAACACTATTTTCAAAGTGCTGTAGGGGCTCCATGGCACATCAATCTGAAATATAATTTTGATATTCATAATCCTGGAAATCAAATGAAAACAATTCAAATGCATTTTTCCTCAAATACGGAACCGCTTGTTTTTCCTTTCCAGAATGCAGAGGTAAGAATTAGGCATCACAATATATAAATAAATTTATTTGATCAAGTAGGTACTCCATTTGGCCATGTACCATTATTTACAAAATAGTTAGGTCAGTCTGATGCAAACCCTTTTAAAATAATTATCCAAGTACATAAACTACAAATCTCCTGCTCAAAACTTGAGCATCTAGGAAACATTGTAGAATATGCATTTCTTTGGTAGCAAATGGTCAAAATGTGCCTATTCGCCACTATCACAAACCAGTGGTACATAGAAAGGTTTCATTATCAGTCGCTTCCCAATATACCAAGTCGGCGTAGAATTAAAATTTTCCAGCAGCATTTTAAACCAGATACATGCAGCAGAAGACATACACAATGCCAACTGCAAAACCCACCACATTCCCAACAATCCACACATGAGGAAGGAGAAAGTGGAGCAGCGCAATTTCCAAAACGAGGCCAATAAACTTGGGCACCGGAACTTCAATGAAAAACAAGAGGTAGCCCGCGTACGGATAGTAATAGGAATAGATAACTTTCAGAGCCATTAGTGCTCCAGTCATCCCCAGGAAGCATTTGTACTCCATCTCAAAATGGGGGATGCCATCTATCTCCTTCGCATAAGGAAGCACAAAGTGTGTCATCAGACAGTAACCGAGGTTGGTGGCCACTGTGGCAGCCAAAGTGGTCAAGGCAAACTGCACCGTGCCCAGCCTTCTTTCTAAGTAGAAGCCAAGTCCAAGGAGAGACACCACAGTGTACAAGAGATGCATGCTGTTGTAGGTGTGCAACGCTGGCACCAGCAACTGTTCCCAGCGTTCTTGCTTCAGGACAAGGTAGGAGTTGACGCACGGGTTGTTCAGTTTGTAGCTCAGAAACACGGGAAGCAGTCTCATCTTGTGCGCCACGAGCGCACCTGAAATCAAGGCAGCACCAACGGGAATCCTAAACGCACCTAGGCTGCGCTGCCACCGCCGGCGAGGGCTGGAGACACCTCGCGCGATATAAACTGGGCCCTGTCCTAGAAGCCGCCAGATGAGGTCCGCGAACGGCTTTACGATGTCGTGTACGTACGCAAGACCGACCAATATTCCGGCCAGGTGGCCCAAGAACGAAGCGTTTGGCGTGACAAGTTGAATGAGAACCAGCTCTGCCCACACGATCAAGCCAGAAGGCATGCTAACGCTCATTCCCATGATAGTCGGGCTGATTCCTGGCCAGTAGTGGTTGTTCAGAACTTTGAGGGCAAAAATAACAGCCGAGAAACCCACGGCGCACTGGTAATTGAACGACGGGTTGACGAACATGCCGCACAGGTAGCTTAGACCCACGAGCGTGACTCCCGTGAGCCCCGTAAACAGACACACGATGTACAAGAAGTAAGCGGATCCAAGTTCCGTTTCCATTCGGATCCCTTTCCAGATGAAGGACACCATGTTGTAATAGAGGTGGAAACTGTCACCGTGCTCGAAGGCGGCGAAAAGGATGCGCCACCACTGTCCGCGGAAGACGACCTTGTCGACGCTGATACATGCCTCGGCGGGAGATCTCCACGGCAAGTCCACTAGTCCCAAAAACGTGCAAGCTTGGGCTACCACGATCGCCAACGTCACTGGCGGGATCACGTCTAGTCCAATCTGGTACACGACATGGTTTAAGAGCAGGAGGACTCCCATGGTGTCTCTCTGCTGACGACGACGCATTTTGGAAGCGTTCCGAAGTTAGCACGTCAAAGGAGTACGTCGTTTGTTCTTCGGCTAGAGTAGATTCCAGTCCCACACTTCTCCAAAAATCAAATTAGCTAAGCGACAGCGGCTGCTTCGCACTTTCATCATCCCAATTTCGAACGAGCGCAAAGCTGGAGTCGAAGGTAGAAGAGAAAAGGCGACCAAATCTAAACCAAACAATCACCGACATGTGTATTAAAAAGGCCCTACCGGCATGGTGGAGAACTAACCAAAACAGATAAATGATCAGTACAAAACATAGGATGTAAGTAATCGTAAAAATAATTTAACCCAAGCTAATAATAACTTTCAAAAGCAAAAACAAAATGTTTTTTTATTATTTTAAAGGCCGTATACAAAGAAAAGTAATACTCAACTCTTGTAACTAGTGGCGCCAACGAGATCGGGTAGCGCGTGGTTTTTTGTCAAATTTTGGCGGTTTTGAAATCGGAGCAGTTCGTGAGCGCGTTGAGCGTTTTGTAGAGTGGTCGGAGTGGTTTCGAACCCAATCACAACGACGCGCTTTATTACTATATAGTGCGGCATGCCTATCTCCCGTGGTAGGTAGTTTGCTCAGAATGCCGTTATTTCTGTAATATTTTGCTTAGTGCACTGAGGTGATTGCAGTTGCTAAAATAGAGAAGGTGAAAGTCCGCGTGTAGCATCTGGCTTTGTTTTGGTTTGGTTCCGCTGCTGCTCAGCTGCATGACAGTGGGCACATGGCAATGAAACAGCCATTTTGCCAAACCACCCTGCTTCTGTTTCCGAAAGAGGACGGGGAGGATTCTGCGCGGCCTCAAAGTAAGCCCAGTAAGTAATCTAATCTGTTTTGCCAAGCATTCGGGAAAACGCAAAACGCAACTCGTGGCAGCCACGTTAAGCTGTTCGTCTGCTTCTTGCACAGGGGTTGTGATGATGTCAGAGCGCCGAGCTCTTATTGGCTGATTGAAAACAGGTAGTGGGTAGACCTGAGGGCATCTAATATCGATGTCTACCCACTATCCCTTCAATCGAAGCCAATCAGAACTCGGCGTCGCTCTGACGTCAGTGCAACTCCTGCGCAAGAAGCAGACGACTTGCACTACGAATGTTGCAATAGAGATACAAACAAAGAAAACTTCAAACAAAGGAAGGGGGTTCATACATAATTGTGCTTAATTGCATGACACTAGCATTCGTTTGGTGATAATAGCGAGGAAATAATAATAAGCTGCATCTAAACGTAATTTGGACGTATCCATACTTGAGGCTAAAGATATGTAGGACGTAGCTGCGATGGCGAAGGGTCGTAATGACTGAGACCCCATTTACAATCTTCATTCCATCTTTATTTCTCATTACTCCCGTAATTAATCAACCCACTTGCCGTCAGTTTTCATCGCGCACTACAGTCAAGCAGTTACTCTCACTACAACTCGACTTGCCCTAGGTGGCCCCACCAGTTCGCTGCAGACAGAGCCGTATATTGGGAGAGTTTGGCCAGTGGGTGTGGCGACGAAGGCGCCGGAGAGGAGAAGAGTAAATGAAAGGGAGGAGAGCGCCGAAGGAGCAAGAGAGAAAGAAGGGAGCAGAGAGGAGACGACCGCCATTTTTTAGCAGCGCTGTAGGAGACTGGTCGGAGAAGAGCACTGCTGAGGCTGCGCGTCGTATGCTACGGGCCGACTTCTTTTTCGCCTGAATGAAAGTGTGGCCATACGCCGAAAAATCTTCATTTATTAGCTTTTGAACCCACCGAGGAATAACAGAATGTCATTTTCTTGCCAGAGCCAGCTATATAAAAGGCGATAATCGAGATTTAGATGCCAATCTCACGCATTTCGCCGGGAGAATGATCGAAGATGGCGGCCCTCCCCACTCAGGTGGGAGCAGCCGGGAGTTCACGCGCATGCGCTCATGCCTCTCGCTCTACGCCGCGTGCTAATTGGCTCACTTGGGAGGAGAGTGTTACGGCGGCGAGATCGTAGACTGACCAAACACTCCCCATATACTGCTCTGGCTGCAGACCAACAGATTTCATTCTCCAGTTCAGGTTATAGGCTTTTGCATTAATGCGCAGTTCCCGCTGTCTTCTCCACCGCATTACAGATGCTCTGCAGTGCTGTGGTTCCCGTTGTCCTTTGCATACGTGACCACTGCATACGTGACCTCTGTTTCCTTGAACTTTACTGTACACGAAGTCCTCTTTGCATTTAGGCACCATGACAGAACAGCACGCAACAAAACAGCATGCATCAAAACAGCATGCGTCAAAACAGCATTTGGCTGAACAGCATGTGCGAAGTGCCTACTGGTTTTCGGTGTTATATCTTGTTACCTATAATGTGAAACCTTTCCACCTCATGCCAATGGAGTTGAATTCCTTGTTTTCTTGCAGTTGATTGTTAATTCTTTGATGTCAGTTTATAACAAGAATTCTGTGTTTTCTGTACTTATTTTTCTTCAAATTCGAAAGTTATTTTTTAATGCTAATTTTTTTTTTTTTTACTCGCATTCTGTGTTTTTTGGTGTCTATTTGTGATATCACAAATAAACACCGACCTACAAATCAGGGGTGTTACCATATGAGCCCTGATAAACCCACAAATAGGGGCTCAAACGTTAAAAGCAAAAGCATATCTGGCACGCTCTAGAAATCATTATATGCGCTGTTTATTACTAAATAAAGCACATAGAGACAATTTTCAACGAAAGAAGTAGCCTTCCGGACAGCTCAGTGCGGTCAGTGCTTGAGGTGGACCCAAAGTAAGTTATTTAATACAAATTTCCTAGCATGAAACTGCAGTCTTCTTCAAAGCAAGCTTCAATCCCGCGTTTTTTGGTTTTTATGCAACATGGAAAAATGTGTAGCAGCTTCTGTGTTGCAAACAATAAAGATGAAATCTGCCACTTCCTGGGATACTGCCAGAGCAGTAATCGCCGCGAGTACCAGAACTCTCACAGGTGAGATTTAATGTGAGGTTACACCCTGATCCAAACGTCATGATTTTAATTATTATCTTTGAAATTAACTTTCAGGGGTTATTTTTCGGTGATTATTGATATATACCGAAAACACGATACTCTATTTATACCCATACTAATGCGGCGCCTTATTTACCGACCGCAACTGAAAGAAATAATGAACATCACAATGGACGAGATTAGAGAAAATCTAAAAATGGTTTATTTGACATGCGCTCTTGTTTTACGCATATCTTGCATGCAACAAGAAAAGCGACAGCCCAGGAGCGTATTGACGAGGGGCTGCATGTCATTCTGAGACATTGTTCCGTAGTGTGCGATATTCTGGTGTAAGGCTTTGAACCCGACGGGATGCACCCTCGTTGGCTGTCGACGATCTTCTGCTGGGTGAGTCTCTGCTTTGTCTTCAAAGCTTTGATGAGCCGGTAGGGATCTGGTTGTTAAAACTCGAGCGCAGACTGAACCAGGGGTGGGCAAGATACTTCGAAATTGTATCTTCGATACCGATACTCGATACCCTCGAAAATTGTATTTGAGATACCGATACAAGATACAGATGCAAAACTAATCTCCGATACAGATACTGAATACTGTATTTTAGATACTTCGATACATCGCTAAAACCTCATCCGAAGTACTTTAAAATGGGTGTATCTTATTGCTTTAGATTAATTAACAAAGGTATTAGCTGAATTCTTGTGTTTGTTATATTGCGTCTTTTTTTCAAACGTTTACACAAACGTACAAACCTCCGTAAAAATATTGCAGCCAAGAGAGCAGCGAGGTATAAAGATACACGCTATTTCAAATCCACAGAATCTACCAAACCAAAACGTTCTATCTATAATTGAGTTTTAGTCTCCGCAAGTTTTTTTCAGAAACACGGACTATGTGGTGTTAACGAGTTATAGTAGATCGTGTTTTCAGGGAAAGATATTTGTATTGGGAGCTCGCGCTGCCACATCGAAGCATGCTCTGAAGCGCGCGCATGGAGTGGTATCGATCCAATGAAAACGATATACTGAAACTCCCTACTGTCGCTGTCGGGGGCTGAAGCTCGAAAAACAAATACAGGCATTGAAAGAATCAGGAGAGCGTGTTGGTTAAACATTCATGAGGAGGAACGCAAGTAAGAAGAAGGGACACACAGAAATATGAGACAGACATGGCAGTCGGTGTCTGTCTCGTTTTCATATTAGTCCCTTGAGTTTACTTGCGTTCTGAATCCTCAAGAAATGACAGACACTTTTAGATAGACGTACAAGTAGGCAGCAATTTAGCACCATGTTTTGCGTCTTTCCGTTCTGGTCGCTTTATTGTAATATTGTCGCGCAAGAGCTTGCTGCCGTTTTTGCCGCCCTGGCGGTTGAAAAACCCTTCGGTCACGATGGCACCCATGGGACCGCAGCCTTAAGCAGAAGCATTGGCTCAAAACGCCGGTCTGAAAGTCCGCCACGATGCGGGCGTAAGGTTAGCGACGCGAAGGAGAACAGCCGTTCTACAGGAGCCGAGGAGCACGTTGGGGTGTTGTATCTAATGAAGGCGCTTCTCAGAGAAGGGTATGAGCGGAGCATATCGAATTCAACTCGAGGATCTTGCAGGTAGCTCAGGAACTCAAGTTTGCCTTGATCTTAATGACAACTAGGGCTCGTGCCGCAGTGGGCTTCAAAAGAAAAGAATGCATCAGCCGATACGTCAGAGGCTGCAGAGGTTGATGGCGCGCACGCCAGAGGACGCGTGGTATGCTTGGTTGCATTTACAAAGTCAATTACAGCTTTTTTTGTGAGTTGCTGGCCATGCTCGCGGACATCTTGAGGTTCTCGTGACCACCGCAACTTAAAGTAAGGGTGAAGAACAGCAGCAACAGTCGCTTCATTTGCACTTGGTTTCATTCGCAGAAGCTCGTCAAATCTGCGAATGAACCCAGATGTAACCGCATCCAAAAGTGGTCTGCAGTAGACGAAGTCCATACCAGCCTTCTCCTGAAGCTTTGATTTTAAGGTAGAAAGCGTTGGCAGCAGCTCCCAGAAGAAGCAATCGGACTGCGCTTGGAGTCGCGTCAGAGCGGAGGCGATGGGCTGCAGGATCTCACAGTACTCGGCAATAAATGCTAAGTCTCTTTCTTGGAATGTCTGCAGATTTAGTCCATCGCAGACATCTCGCAGTTTATCCTTCGAGCGAAGGAGGTCTTTCATCCTGTCATACAATAAATTCCAGCGTGTTACGCATGGCGTCTTCAGA